GGTGCCTTGGCATTGGCTGTGAGGCAGGAGCTGCAGAAGGAACAAGCAGTGATGGATGTTTTGTGTCTGTCCTCGAGCGTTTGGAGGTCCTGAGGTATCTACAAATCGACTTGTGTTTAGGAAAAGATGCTCCTGTCTCTGTTCTCTGTTTCTCCACCCCTCTGTCCTGAAAATGTGGGGTTTTCCCCAGCACCCCCCAGGTTGATTCTGTCCATCAGAGCAGCAGCTTGGCTACACCACAGCACCGAAACCAGAGTCTGTTTAATTTGTTGTTAGAAGTTCCTAGAAGGAAATGGTTTCGAGGACCTTGTGGAGGGAAGGGATGGGGAAAAGAATTGTGGGGGGAAAATGTTCTCAAGTTGCCCATGTTCTGTCTGGGGTTTATCTCCATAGTTAGTGATCTGAATCTCCGTTTTTTAGCGATTTATTTGGCAGCCCAGGGGCAGGAGCAGCATCCCTGCTCCTTGTTGGAGCCACACTGAGCTCTGTTCCTCTCTGCTGAACCCAGCAGACCACAAGGTTTCGCTGGACCAGCAGCAGCTTTTCCCTGGTTCCACTTCAAACACAGCCATACCAATCCCTCTGTGGTTTTGCCTTTCTCTTGGACTCTGTTTTTCCACGCTGTTCCACGTGGTTCCAGCAGGGTGCTGTTGGCTCTGCTTTTGTTGTCAGCCCACAACTGGGTTTCTTGCTTTCCAAGAACTTTGGCCAAGTGATTTTATTTTTCTCCTTGGCTGCTCCTTCTGGTCACAGGCTGGGCCAGAAGAACCACCAAGGTTTATCCTTTAACTGGAACAAACCTGAAGGGATGTGGGTTCTCAAGTGTAGACTCAGCCTTACGACTCGCCTGTGAAGAAACCACCGTGTGTTTCGTGTTTCATGGGGTGGAAAAACATCCCAAAGTGGGAAAAGAAGCATCAGGGAGGGTTTGGAGTTGTTGATTTCCCTGTACTTCACGTACCAAGGAAGTGGGTTCTGTGCGTTTCATGTTTTAATAGTTGCAACTAATGTTTATAAAGAGCTTGTTATTTACGTTTTCAGCACTTTAAAGAAGAAAAAAAAATAAAAGTTGTTCAAGCTGTTCCTAGATACTTCTGATTTATTGACAACAGCGTCTGTGCTGATGGCACTTGGACAGTGAGTGACATTTCTCTGTTTATTTTCTGAAGGAGGATGACGGTGTCCAACTCCTCCAGCAGCTTTTCCAGCTCCTTAACAGTCCCCAAGCCCTGGAACCTCGAGTTCCTCCCCAAATATAGGTCCTGGCTCAGGTGATGGGAGCACCTGAGGGGGTTTAAGAGCCTCTCAGGTGTCTTGTGTGGGTCTTAAAGTCGTGTTTTGTGCTGGGATGGCCCTGGGGGATTGGAGCTGGCAGGAGGTGGAGCCAGGTGGGGTCGGGCTCTGCTCCCTGGGAACAAGGGACAGGATGAGAGGAAACGGCCTCAAGTTGCTCCAGGGGAGGTTTAGATTGGATATTGGGAAAATTTCTTCATGGAAAGGGTCGTAAAACATTGGAACAGCCTGCCCAGGGCAGGGGTGGAGTCCCCATGCCTGGAGGGATTTCAAAGCCATGTGGATGTGGCACCTGGGGACAAGGGTCAGTGGTGGCCTTGGCCGTGCTGGGTTAAGGGTTGGACTTTATGATCTTGAGGGCTTTCCCAACCTAAATTCCACGATTCTGTCTGCCTGCAGCTCCCTTGCTGCTCGTGCTGACTCTACCCCTGCATTCCTGAGGATTTGTGGGAAATCAGCAGCTGAGTAGAGGAGAGGGACCCCAGGGCAGTGTCTTGGAGGGAAAGGAGAGCTCCTGTCACATCCCAGACAACACAGAGATCAGCCTCGGGATGCCTGGTGGGAAAACTGGCTCCATCCATGCTGCTGCTCCCAGGAATGGGCAATTCTGGGATGATGATCCTCCCTCTCCTCTGCACTGATCCACCTCCCAGACCTTCTCCTGCAGCCCCTCAGCCCCAAATCCCTCCCACCTTTCACCACTCAGCCGTTTTCCTCCTCAGCACCTGCTTCTTTCTCCGGTCGCGCCTTTTCCTTCTCAAAAATTAACTCCCCTTAAGCTCCTGTAAATTACTTTGCTGCTCCAACAGGAGAGTTTCCTTAGCTCTAATCCCAGTTTATTTTTCATCCAGCTGGATCCAGGCCCTTACAGAGCTCAGCACCTGTCCGGGGGAGGATCATGTTAACCCCGAGAGCCTGGATGGGCCGGGCAGGGAAATGTTTGGCACGATGTTTTGTGGGATCAGGGCGCTGAGCTGTGACCCTCTGAAAGATGATCCAGCCTAAGGAGAAGCAGCCTGGACTAACTGGGCTGGTTTAGGCTTCCCCAGGCAGCAGCCACTGGGAGAACTGGAGTCTGGAAGCCGGGAAAAAAGAAGGATTTAAAGTCCTGCTGGAATGCCCGCGTGTGATTCCATCGGGTGTCTCTGCTTGTCTTGAGCACAGACTCAGGGACTGATGGAAATAATTCCCGTCCCTGTGGGAAGAACTGGCTTGGGTTTGTTGTTCCAAGCCGGAGTTTTCGCTGCCCGCCTCGAGTTTTTCTTAAAATCTGGCTTTGCAGATGGAAGCTGACAAGGAATGTTCCTGTGACTTCCTCCCGGAGCCAGCAGGAAGCCCAGCCCCACTCCCAGCTGTCATGTGTGGGGTGACTCCCTGAGACCCCCCAAATCTCCCTCAGGGTGGTGGGCTGACCCTGGGTGGGTCCTGGGTGCCCCCCAAAGCTGCTCTCACTCCCCTCCTCAGCTGGGCAGGGAGATAAAAATCCAAGGACAGGCTGGTGGGTCGGGATAAGGGCAGGGAGGGGTCGCTCACTGGTTACTGTCATGGGCGAACAGGCTCGACTTGGGGAAATTAGTTTAATTTATCAATCAAATCAGAGCAGGGCAGTGAGAAATAAACCCAAATCTTAAATCACCTTCCCTTCTTCCAAGATTCCTGAATTCTCTCCCACAGGGAACAGAGGCTGCAATCATACATTGTCTCTGCTCCTTCCTCCGCAGGGGTTGGACTCCTCACACTCTTCCCCTGCTCCAGTTTGGGGTCCCTCCCACAGGGGACAGTTTTCCATGAACTTCTCCCATTTGGGTCCTTCCCAGGGGCTGTACTTCTCCGTGAACTGCTCCAGCATGGATCCCTTCTTCCAAGGGATCAGTGCCTCGGGAACAGGCTGCGGGATCACGAGTCCTGCCAGGACCCTGCTCCAGTGTGGGCTTCCCATGGGATCCCAGCCTCCTTCAGGCATTGCCCTGCTCCGGTGTGGGGTCTCCGTGGCTCCCTGTGGATCTCTGCTCCCCCTGGACCTCCATGGGCACAGCAACCTCACCACAGCACCACAAGCTGCCAGGGAATCTCAGCTCCAGCACCTGGAGCACCTCCTGCCCCTCCTGCCCCTTCTTCTGCACTGCCCTGGGGGGGCTGCAGGGTTTTCCTCTCACATATTCTCACTCCTCTCTCCCTCTGCTCTTCCACACCAGTTTCTCCTCTTCCTTCTTCCCCATTTTATCCCAGGGGTTCTCCCACCATCACTGATGGGCTCAGCCTTGTCCAGCGTCCCGGAGCCGGCTGGAATTGGCTCCGTGGACGTGGGAGAAGCTTCCAGCACCTTCCCACAGAGGCCACCCCTGCTCCCAAAATCTCCCCGTTTTTAGATGAGCTCGCACAGCGTCGGGGGAGGGTTGTTTCCCCCTCCAGAAAAAATGGGAAGAAACTTCATTGTTGACTGAACAGTCGTCGATCCGGGGAAACAACAACCCCTCCTCTCCTCCCCCAATCCAGGGAAACGCGAGTTGTCAGTCGAAATGGATCTGGTTGGATTGATATCAGCCAAAGAATTGATATTCTTTCTGGTATTTAACCAAAAAAGTGATAGTCTTATGTCACTCCAAATGTGGTTTTAGATAAACAGATTCTCTCCCCTCTGTTGTTACAAAACATTTCGTGTGTCAACATTTAGGGACTGTATCAATTATCTGGCTCGAGCTGCGAGGGGAGGGAGGGGGGGGTTTCCCTTGTGAGAGGGATTTGGGTTATCATCCATATTCATGGGAGAGATTTTGCCGCCTTGGGAAGGACGGGATGGAACCTTTAGAGAAGGGAGAGTCGCCTTGTAAAGCTTTCGTGGCTGCAAAATGATTTTATTTTTCCTTTTTCGGATCGTTCGGGCTCCGAGCAGAGGTAAAGAAAACAAACCTGAGTGACAGGAGAGTTTTTGGGATAAAGGTTGACCTCGGAGCTTCAGGGATGAGAAGGGAGCAGGAAAATGTCACTGTGGGGTCAGAAGGAGGTTTGAGCTGCAGCCACTTTTAATTAAAACAAGCAAATGATTAACTCCCAGGACACGGTGCAAGGAAGGCAGCGGGTTCGCTCCAGGGGGCAGGATGTGTCCCTGGAACGGATCTTTGCTCCTCATCTCCCCGTTCCTGAGGATGGTTGGGTTTTCCAGCGCGGCAGGGAGAGGGTAGGAGGGGAGGGGACGCTGGAACGACTTGATTTTAACAATATCTCTAAGGAGAAACGAACAAGAAATTATAAAATACCACTTTTTCCCCCCCGTTTTCTGCTCCACTTTTTGCCCTCTGGACACAACCCGAGGCAGGCTCTGCTTCGAGCCCCTTTTCTGTCCCTTTTCCACCTGGAGCTGCAGCAGTTTTGCCACTTAGTGAAAAGAGATCAGCCTAAAACCAGAAATTGGTTTTGCAGGCGGAAAGAAAACAGGAAAAAAAGAGATCATCTCCACACCCACAAAGCAGAGCAGCAGCATCCCCACAGCAAAAAAAATGGGATGTTCATGTTTTTCCCTGTGTAGCAAAAATAATGGATTTATTTTCCAGGCATATTTTTTAATTCCTCCTTAGAAGGAAAACCTGTTTATGACCTGCCTTTATTTCCTTTATTGCCTTCATTTTAATCTGGTGTCTTTACTACTCTGGCACCAAACCTTCCTCTTATTCCCTGACTCCTTTCCCTGCTTCATCCACACCTCCTGTCTATTTGCTGTCCTTTTGCTCTTCCTCGGAGAATTGATCCTAATCCTCCAAACAATTTCGCCGGCGTTTGAAGGTCCAGGCACTTCTTATTCCACTAATCTAGGGAAGAGGATTCTGGAGATGGCTCCGTGTGCCTCCCCCCTTGTGCCCCCAGCCCTGCACGACCTTGGGTTTATCTCCACAAATCGTTACGATTTCCAGGTTCTTTATTTTTAATCAGGTGTTTATTACAAAGGTCAATAGCAGTTGTTGGGCTCCTGTCGAAGTGAGAGTGAATGTTTCCACGAGGAAATGGAATCAGAGAATTGTTTGGGTTGGGAAAGACCTCCAAGATCGTTGAGTCCAAACCTTACCCAGTGCTGCCAAAGCCACCACTGACCCATGTCCCCAAGTGCCACATCCACGGGTTTTTTGAACACTTCCGAGGATGGTGATCCCACCACTGCCCCGGGCAGCTGTGCCAGGGCTGGACAACCCTTTCCATAGAGAATTTTTCCCTGACATCCAGCCTAAACCTCTCCTGGCATAACTTGACACCGTTTCCTCTCCTCCTGTTGCTTCTTTTTTGGGAATAGAGCCCGAACCCCCCCTGGCTCCCCCCTCCTGTCAGGGGGTTGCAGAGCCAGAAGGTCCGCCCTGAGCCTCCTTTTCTCCAGGATGAGCCCCCCCAGCTCCCTCAGCTGCTTTTGCTGCTCCAGACCCTTCCCCAGCTCCGTTCCCTTCCCTGGACACACTCCAGCCCCCCCTCAATGTCTCTCTTGCTGTGAGGGGGGAATTTGGGGTCATTTATCAGAAGTCTTTGAGAATGCGGGGCAATTTTTCAGATGTCTTTCACCTTCTCCCTTTGTTTGCCTCATTATTTACTCAAACTATTCCACATAGGAGGCAAAAATCTCTTGTTCTCCCCGTTCCCACCCGGGACTACATTTCCCGTGATGCCCCGCGGCCCAACGCGCGCTCCCCATTGGCTGGTGGCCACAGCGCGGCCCCGCCTCCCGGGGGACTACAGCTCCCGGCGTGCCCCGCGGCAGCTGCGGTTGGCCGTGGCCAATGAGCGCGGCGGCGCCGCAGGGGGCGGGGCCGGGCGGCGGGGGAGGCTGTTTAAAGTGGCGCCTGCGGGATGGCGGAGCCGGCGGACTATCCCCCGTTCCAGCTGGGGAAGCCCCGCTTCGAGCAGGTACCGTGCCGGCGGCGGGAGGCGGCTGGGGGGGGGACACACCGTGTGTGTGTGTGTGGGGGGGGGCTGTCCCTGCCCCGCGAGCGGCGCGTCCCTCCCCCACCCCCCTAACCCCGGGCGGGGAGACCCCCGCTCCCCGCTCCGCTTTAGCCCCGCCCCCGCCGCGGGGCGGCGCGCTGATTGGCGCGCAGCCCGCGCGCGATTGGCCGGCGCGGCTGTCACTCAGAGCCGCCGCCCCCCTGCCCCGCGGCGGGTCCCGCGGCGGGCGCTGATTGGCGCGTCCCGCCGGGCCCCCCGTGGCGCGGGGCGCAGGGCGGGGGGCGCGGGGCCCGGGGGTCGCGGGTTCGAGCTCCGCGGACGCCTCCCGGGGCGGCGGGGGTGGGTGGAGGGTCCCGGTGGGAATGCCCTTGCCCCCCGTGGGGTGGTGCGAGGGCTGGGTTATGCCCCGCGAGCCCAAGGGTGCGGGGCGGTGAAGAGCAGTGCTTGGGGGATGCACCAGGATGAGCCAGGGATGCTCCAGGCGGGCGCTTCGCCCTCCTCCCCGTGGGCTGTCCTGGTTTGGGGGCGGCTGGGTAAGGGCAGGTGCTCCTGGATTGGGGGTTGTGTGACCTGGTCGACGTGCCAACCAAGGACAGGCTGGCACGGAGAGTCTGGCGGGGCATCCCTGTGCTCCACAGCTGACACCTGGGGGATGGGGAGGGGAGCCCGGGGCTCACACACCTGTGCCCAGGTGAGCAGAGCTGGTGTAGGGATGGAGTGGCCCTTCCCCGCTGCCACCATCCTTGCCACCAGCTGGTCTCAAGGTCCCTGGTGTGGCTGGCAGACACCCCTCCTCCTGCCCCTGCAGCTGTGTCGGGCTGATAAAGTTCATTAAACCTCCTTCAGCCACCCTGGAGAAGAGTGGGAGGGGAGTGGCCGTGGAGTGGCTGTGGCCACTGCCAAAGCCAGAATGGCAAGAAGAGCCTGCTCCTTAAATGGTGGGGTATGTGTCCAACCAGTAGGACAATCTCCAAGGAGCAACCCTTCCTACTATCCACAGGAATCCAGGACCACTGTTTACCAGCTGCCTCAGCCTGGCTGGACCCCCAACCATCCCTTTGGGTTGCTGAGAAATCCAGTGGCAGGTTTCCCATGGGAGCCAGCTCCCAGGTGGTGGATCCACTTCCCACGCCCCATATCCTTACGGGGCTTGGAGCAACCTGGGCTAGTGGAAGGTGTCCCTGCCCGTGGCCAGGGGTTGGATTTAGATGGTCTTTAAAAGGTCGCTTCCAACCCAAAGCCAGCACTGATTCCGTGATCCCCGTCCGGGAGGTCACATCCTCGGAGCGACAAGGAAGGGATGACTTTCCCCCCCTGCAGGAGCCGAGGGATGCTCAGGCTGTGGAGAGATGGAGCTTTTTAATAAGGAGAGGAGGAGGAGGAGGAGGAGGAGGAGGAGACGCTACTCCCTTCTAGACACCACAGATGATTCCAGGCACACTTGGCAGCGAGTCAGGCACAGAATCGGTGCGTTCTGTTCATTAAGGAGCGACTGTCACTTGTAGCAGCATTTAGAAAACGTTTCGAGGGCTATGGCAGGATGTTAATGGCTCTGTGTGTGTGTGTGTGTGCTCAGTGGAGCGGGAATGTCCTCTTCTCCCTGCCATTCCTGGGAATGTCCTCTCCTCCCTGCCACCCCTGGCAACGGGCGGGTCCGGGGTGAGGGTTGTCCGGCAGTGGAAGCGCCCTTGGCACTGGGTGCTTTGGGGATGCTTTTCCAGCATTGGGAATCACTCCCCTTCTCTTCTGTGGTGGTTTTATCCCTTTCCTGTGAAATTTCCAGCCAAGGAGTGCCGGTGGGAGCCGCAGGATGGGTTGTGGTGCTGCTCTTGCCCTGTGCTCCCCTTCTTTTTCTCCTGCTCCATCCGCCCGTGGGTGATGGACAAACTGGGCAGCCCAGTTTGGGATCTGGCAGCGCTGTGAGGTCACAGGGCAAGAGAGGTTTGGATGTTTCCATGGTTTATGGCTCCTGGTTGGGATCCTGTGGGATCCATATGGGGCACAGCAGCCTGTGCCATCAACACCAGGACCTGCTCCCATTCTGGCCTGGCAGAGCCCAGATCCTTCATCCCTAGATCAGACTCTTGCATTTCCCCCATCATGACCTTGGTGTTCCCTTCCAAGCACATCCTCCAGTGCTGGAGAGGAACACCTCCATCCACATTCCCAAGGGATCACCAGGACCCAAACCCCACGATCCTTTCCCATCAGTGATTTCCCCACGCACCTCCCTGCCTTTTCCCCTTCTTTTTCAGTGGCTTTCCCGGGTTTTTATCTGTTTGTATGATCTCAGCTTGAGCTGCCAAAGGATGCCTGGGTTGTTTTGGAAGGGATTAGTGACGCTTGGGGTGGTTGTTTAAATTCTGGACGACAACACTTCTCCTTCCCTCGGCGGCGCTGGCCGGGAGCAGCTCTGGGGCTGCTTAAAGGGAGGTTTGGTTAAAACTGGGGCTGGGAGAGATGCGAGGGGGGGTAAAAACAAGGAAAAGTTCTGTGTCAGGAACAAAACCCTTGGAGAGCAGGCTGGGCTGCCTGGGGATTTGGTTCAGAGGAGACAACGGTGGTTTCCTTCCCCTGCCGTGACCCGGCGCTCCCGGGAAGCGGCTGAGCCGAATTTAGGGCAGCAGGCGGGACGTGTCCGTGCCCGGCACCACCTCTGCAGGTTATGAAATTCCCCCTTTTTTCCCCCCCTGGCTTTGCAGTTCGCTTGTTTTCCCTCATCTCCAGGCAAAGAGATGTTCTGTCGAGTCACCTTTTTTTTTTTTTCTCCCTTCGGTTTCTTTGCCGGAAAGAGGCTCCGAATCCCGATGGGAACAGGCTATTTTTAGGGGAGAGAAGAAATGAGGACGTTAGGCTTGAGAATGTGTGATAAGGACTTAATTTTCTGACAAGTAGGTCTAATTGGTTAGAAATACTCCTAGTTTTTTTGCTTTATTTCCTAGTTTTATTCTGTTTTTTTTAAGGATTTGCTAAATGCTTCCTCTCCTAAATCCTTATGCATGTTCCCAGCGCTCTGGGAGCTCTGCCTATAGCCCAGGAATTTATCCTGGGTAAAATCCAGTGGAATATGTCCCTGCCAATGGAGTAAGGTGATCTTTAAGGTCCCTTCCCTCTAAAAAGCAGCACGGGGTTGTCTCAGCTGGTGCAGGAGAACAGCAAGAACAGGGGAGAAGGAACAAGGAGGGAGCTGATTTCCTTCCCAGCTGGAGTCAAGCAGGGTCATCTCAACGTGCAGAAGTAGGAAATAATAATAAAAAAGAGGTCACAGGACTTGGATCCTTCAGGAGAATGAAAATAAAGAGGAATAAACCTGATCCAGAACTGATGTCAGAGCTTGGCCCTGCGATATTTTAAATATTGGAACTCGGAGGTGTTTTATGTGAGGACATAAGGGCTAAAAATTGCTATTTCCTGCTCTTGAATTTGGTAAGTTTAAAGCCCAACCAGGGTTTATTACACCATTACCCCAGTCGTGTGCCTCCAACACTCTCCTGAGATCCCACCTGCAGTTCTGCCTCCAGCTCTGGGGTCCCCAGCACAGGAAGGACGTGGAGCTGTTGGAGTGAGCCCAGAGGAGGCTCCAAGATGATCAGAGGGATGGAGCAGCTCTGCTGGGAGGGAAGGTGAGAGAACTGGGATTGTTCAGCCTGGAGAAGAGAAGCTTTGGAGTGACCTAACTGTGACCTTCCAGTGCTTGAAGGAGCGACAAGAAAGATGGAGAGAGAATATTTACAAGGGCCTGGAGAGACAGAACAAGAGGGAATGGCTTCCCAGTGCCAGAGGGTAGGGTTAGATGGGATATTGGGAAGGAATTCCTGGTTGTGAGGGTGGGGAGGCCCTGGCACAGGTTGGGCAGAGAAGCTGAGGCTGCCCCTGGATCCCTGGAATTGTCTAAGGCCAGGTTGGATGAGGCTTGGAACAACCTGAGCTAGTGGAAGGTGTCCCTGCCCATGGCAGGGGTGGAACTGGATGATCTTTAAGGTCCCTTCCAACCCTTTCCAAACCATTCTTTGGTTCCATGGATACAACCTGCCAAAATCCCCCATCCATTGGCTTTTTCGGCCAGGACTGGATTTTAAATGAGGGGTTGTTTTGTTTGTGTCTTTTCCTGTAAGTTGTAAACCCCTACAGCTGCATGTTAAAGGTGCCTGTGCTGAGCAGAGCACAAGCAGAGCTGTCGCTGCTGGTGGCTGATGTCACTGCGGTGCAGGAGCTGCTCCCATACAGATCTTGGCTCTTTCACATCAGAAAGTCAAATTAAGAGCCTGAAAGGACTGAAAATCCATGGTTTGAGCCTAAACTTGCAGTGGGCTGGACCACAAGTGTGTGTGAATTTACACATTCCCAGCCAGGCCTCGTCGTGGTCCACTTGCTCAATGGCTTGAATTGTCTTAATTTTTGTTTGGTTTAGCTTAAATCTCTTCCTAATTAATTTAAAGCTGGCATAAGCCTGATTTTTAGCTCACCCCACCCCCAGGTCTGCCTGCCTTTTGCTCTGGCTTAATTAAATCCCTTTTAAAATCAGGTTGTAATTAAACTGCAGTTGTCCGTGTCCCCTGTTCCTCCCAGCAGAGGCTTCTTGGAATCCTTTCCCATTTAAAGGCGATAAACACCTTGGTAATGGTCACTTACCTTCTCCCACTCCCTCTTCTTCAAATTCCTTGAGCCTCCAAGGAGTATTTCCCTTCTTGTTCTTATCTTGGAGTCTTCATGGCCGGCTGTGCTGAGCTGGATCCATAACACTCCTGAGCTGCTGTGCCCTGGGAATTAATATTCCCAGCCACTTCATCTTGATGCAAGGCTGGTGAGAAGTGGTCCCAAAATAACCACGATTAATCACAGGAAATTTGTGTTATTCGTTTTTTTTTTTCTCCCAGGGAAGTGTTTACTACAGCAGATGTTACAGGAACAAAGTGGCAAAAAAGACCATGGATGGAGGTCTGGGAGCTGAAGGTCAAAGTTCTGGGAATCTCACAAGCTCCAGCCCTGGCTGGAGTGTGACAGCAGAGCTGGGAATGAGCCTGTTACAAGGGAACCATCCAGAATTCTCTTGGAAGTCAGGGTTTGGTTGTTGTAGGGCACTGAACAGGACACTGTTCCTGTGTCCCTGGGCTTGATCCTCATCCTGTTCCCTTGGTATTTCGTGGAATCAAAGAATCCTAAAATGGTTTGGGTTGGAAGGGACCTTAAAGATCATCCAGTCCCACCCCCTGCCACAGGCAGGGACACCTTCCACTAGCCCAGGTTGCTCCAAGCCTCATCCAACCTGGCCTTGGACACTTCCAGGGATCCAGGGGCAGCCACAGCTTCTCTGGGCAACCTGGGCCAGGGCCCCACCACCCTCAGAGGGAGGAATTTCCCCAAAATTTTTACATTACTAAGATTTGATGGGGGTTTTTTCCCCTTTTTTTTTTTGTTTTTTTTGTTTTGCATGCAGCTCTATGAAAACAAATCTTAGATTAAAAAAATTCTGATGGCTTCTAGTCAGGAGACTAAACCTGGGAAGCAGGAAAGTATCTGGAGGATGGAAAGGCGACCAACAAGGTCTAACAGTGAAGCAGCTTTCCATAGTCATCCAAAAAGGAAAAATGCAAAGTCCCATGGCTGGACAGCAGGAAAAAAAATGGGTATTTTTTTGTTCAGGGGCTGCACAGTCATAGTAAAGACACTGCAGGAGTGAAATACAGGGTGGTGACGGTGAGATGGAGCCTCAAGAAGACAACGTGGCTCTTGGTTTGACCTTGGTTCCGTTTGATGTGGTTCTCAGAGGGCTTTTGTTGTGGAGAAATGAGGCTCTTATTCATCAGAGTTTAACAAAGCAAAGCAAAACTTGTTCAGACTCATATTCCTTTTTATTTTTTTTTTTTGTGTTCTCTTTAAAATCTTGGCCTGGTGGGAGTGAAGGACGTTCCATTTCCTTGTGGGAAGGACCCTGGACTAGAAGCAGCAGAGGGAGGAGTTCTGTTGATGGCTTGTCTTCTGTGCTGTCCCTGGGTGTGATGAGGAATGCTGAGCTGATCAGGATGCACTGAAGGATCAATCATTGCCATGGGAGTGCAGCTCCTCCCCTTTCTTGGGATCTGGGAAAGAGAACGGGAAGATTTTGGCTTTAATCGAGGTGACAAAGTTGGAGCCTCGGGGTGACAATGACCCTTCTGCTGGAAAGGGGGGGGGGGGTTTGAGCACCACAGACTTGTAAGAGGAGTTTTTCATGTCAGGGCAGCTCCTAAAAGCAGGTTCCTGAAGTTGTGTTTTTAGAGAGCTCCTGGTACCACGAAAAGAAAGAGGAAACCACGGTGTTGAGTTGGGTCTTGTTGCCTGTTAGAGGGGAGGGAGGATGGGCTGGAGCTCCTCACCTGCTCCCTGTGCATTCCTGAAGGTCAGAGATCACGGAATCATGGAATGGGTTAGGTTGGAAGGGACCTTCAAGACCATCCAGTGCCACCTCCTGCCACAGGCAGGGACAACTTCCACTATCCCAGGTTGCTCCAACCTGGCCTTAAACACTTCCAGGGATCCAGGGGCAGCCACAGCTTCTCTGCCAAACCTGTGCCAGGGCCTCCCCACCCTCACAAGGAAGAATTTCTTCCTAAAATCCCATCTAAATCTATTCTATTTCAGCTTAAAGCCATCCCCCCTTGTCCTGTTGTCCTGTCACAGCTTGCTCTTGCTAAAAAAAAGATGTTCTTCAGAACTGGCTTCCCCCTTGTGTTCCAGCCTAGGGAAGGAGCACTTGTGCATTCCCATTGTCCTTTCTTTGAAGTAACCGTAGCAAGAAGGTGATTCCTTTATTTTTTAAAAAAACAGGGATGGAAGAAGCAGGCACTGGGACAGCCCTGTCTGCTCCCAGCCGAGCAGTTGGCCCCATGCACCATGAAGTTCCTTGTGGTATCCCAAGGGCTGTTGTCCTGACTCCACTGGAATGGTCCTGTCCTTGCCCTGGGGCTTGTCTGACCACAGACTGGACAAGTTCAGGCAACACCACCTGGAAACAAATCCCTCACTCCTTCCTGCACTGACCCAGGTTGGGCAGAGAAGCTGTGGCTGCCCCTGGATCCCTGGAAGTGTCCAAGGCCAGGTTGGAGCAACATGGGCTAGTGGAAGGTGTCCCTGCCCTTGGCAGGGGGTGGAATGAGATGGTCTTGAAGGTCCCTTCCAACCCAAAGCAGTCTGTGATTCCATGATTTGAGGATTAGGATTTGGGCACTCAGCTCCTGGATCAGGCAGTTGAAGCACCAGGTCGGCGCCGGGACTGGGCAGGAGAGGAGCAGGGAGTGTGGGAATGGGATCACGTCAGGATGGGTTTGAGCTGCTCAAACCTGTCCTTGGCTGGGTGTGGCTGAGCTTGACCAGGCAGGATCAGGGCAGGAGCCCAGAGCTGGAGCTGAACCGACCAAACCACAACCCTGGGATACAGGATCGGCTCCCTGAGAGCCTCGACAGCTTGGGAATTGAAATCTGCGCTTCAAAAAATAACATTTACATCCTGCACGTTTGGACTTGTGGTCTCCTTCCCTCTTCCCTGACATTTACACCTTGGTTAAGTGGGTGTAAAATATTGATGCTCTGTTTAATTCTACTCAATGTTGTTTTTCTCCCTGTGAGATGAATATCACAGAGATGAAAAGCAGCGGAGAAGTCGAGACCACTTAAATTTAAACAGCCCCCCTCCCATTCTGTTCTTGTTTAAACCACGTAATTCCAACTGCTCTGGATGGCATGGAGCGAGTGCTGAGGGACGGGCAGTGGGAGAGGGACGATGGAATGTGGGAGATGAGGATCAGGGAGAACTTGTCAGGAGGGGCCCAGTGAGTCAGGGATTAGTCACATCCCTCCCTGCACCACTGGGAAGCGCCGGGCAGCGGTGATGGGAAGGATGGGAAGGATGGGAAGGACAGTGGCATCTGCAGGGAGCTTCACCCTCAAAATAAAAAAGCGAGGCGGCAAAATGTCAAGCTCGGGAACGCTAGAAAGTACCAGAATTAGTGTTAATTAAATCCACGCTAATTAAAAACCGCTGTGCTTTTTTCTTTTTTTTTTTCCCTCCCCAAAGTTGTGTGCAGCGATTTGGTTTAATTGTGGGGTTTTTTGTTTTTGTTTTTTTTTATAGCAGAATATGGAAAAATAACAGAGAGAGAAAGAGTTTTGTGAGCAGGGCTGTTGTGAGGTGTTTGTGAGGACGGGGTTTGCAGCTCCCAACGCTCTGGGAACGGCCCTTGGAGAGGGATTTCTGCTGGAATAAGGAGGCAGAATGCCTGGTGTGTTTCTCTGTGCTTGATGGATGGAGCAGAGGAGAAGCAGCACGTTTCAGAGAGCGCTGCCAGGCAGTGATTAAAGGCTGTTCTCGGCGCTGTATCCACACTCCAGTCCTTTATTTATAGCACATCCCTGCATTAAAAACGCAGCAGGAGATTTTGCCGGCACGTGGCTGGAGAACACCCGGGCAGAGGGGTCCTGGCGTTTGAGGGGACGTGGAAATCCGTGATCTCCCTGACCGTGGTCCTTTCCACATCCATGATGTGCTGGGAATTTTGCTGGGGAGAAGCCACAGGACAGAGAGGGGCCACTGGAGCAGAGTGTCCTGTGTCCATCCTTGTCCGGATGAGGGTCTGGCACTCACCTGCATCAAAGAATCCAGGCTGATGTTGGAATGATGATGTAAATGTATCCTGAGTGCTCTTAATACATTAACATTTCATGGTCTGGTGCTTTGGGTTTGCATAAATTCCATTTTTATTTCTACTTTCTAAATACTGAGTCTCCTTTTCTCCTTTCCTTTGGAGCTGCCCGTGATCTTCCCCCCCCCTGTTTCACAGATCTCCCCCCCCCTTCTTTCAGACTCTCTTCCTGGTTCTGGAAGTGTTCAAGGCCAGGTTGGACAGAGCCCTGAGCAACCTGGTCTAGTTGGGCTTGTTCTTAGAGGCACGTTTGGAAAAATCCAAGCTGGATGTGTTTGTGTAGGGATAACGCTGTGGGAAGATGCTCTTGTGTTTGAAGGACCAGAAAGGGATCCAGAGAATCCTAAAATGGTTTGGGTGGGAAGGGACTTTGAAGATTATCCCGTTCCACCCCCTGCCATGGGCAGAGACACCTTCCACTAGCCCAGGTTGCTCCAAGCCCTGTCCAAAATGCCCTGGGACACTTCCAGGGATGCAGAATCCACAACCTCTCACTTCATGGTGGTCTATCCCCAAAATCCATGACCCTGTGGTGCTGCTGGTCCTGCAAGGTGGATGTTGGCAGGAATGAGGATGAGCAGCACAGGGACTGTGTTAAAGACATGGCAGGATGGGAATTCCCTCGGGAATGTTGCTCAGTGTAAAAGGTCTGGAGCTGCAGGTTGGATTTTTGCGGCTTCAGCATTTCCCAGGAGTCCCACAAGCAATATTTCATTTTTTGGGGGAAAAAGTAAAGGATATTTTAGCAGCTTGATGGTATCCCTTTATTAAAGCATCTGGATTGGTGTCCCATTATCAGGATTCAATTCCTCACCTTTTCCTTCCAGACTTCCCATCAAAAATTCCCTTTAAATACATTCTATATTATTTATTTTTAGTTGCTACTTAATTCTGCAAAGGAAATAAAACCTTTCTCTGCAGCAGGTGAAAGGCAATTTCTCACTGACCATGTTTTGTTTCCTTTTCCTGTTTTTCCAGACTTCATTTTATGGCAGATTCAGGCACTTCTTGGACATCATCGACCCCCGCACTCTCTTTGTGACTGAGGTAAAATACACACACCTTGGGTTTTGGGAAAGTGCTGGTCATTAGACAGCTTTAAATTAAAAACAATTTCTTCTGTGAACAGCACAAGTAATGAAACTGGGTCTCCAGTGGATTTGTGTCTCACAGTTGATTGATTGCCCGACTGTTAAGTCCAAACTGAAACTCGCTTTGTGTTGTTATCCATCAGTGAATCCACACCTCCCATCTCCCTCCCAGTAACTGGTGAGCCCCTGGACTGGTTTCAGGCAAACTTGCCACTGATTTAATCTTCCCAGAAGGAAAATTCCTACAGCTCTTCATGGGGAAAAAAAAATACAGGGGAGGAGATGAGAGAGCAAATATTAATTCCATGGAAGACGTGAAGGTGGGTGGGTTTGTGAAAGTTTTGCAGAGGCTGCACTCAAAAACACCTTTTTCCATAGTTTTTCCTTAGTTGTTAACCTGTTTGTAGCGGGAGTTTGGATTTCTGGTCCTTTCTTTCCATTTAATGTTGTCCAGAATTATTTCAGTTCTTTGCTTTCATGAAATAGTGACTGAGAGTGATGGGGAACACATAGAAGGAATATTTCTGCTTGTGATTCTGCCTGTTGGCCAGAAAACTTGGGATTTTACTTTCAATGAAGGGCATCTGCTTTTTCCTTTTTATTTTCCCTTTTTATTTTCTTTTTTTTTGTTTGTTTTGAGGTGGGGTAGTTTTAAGATGAAAATACTCCTGCAAGCAAATCTCAAACCCCTGGGAGCTGAACTGCTCAGGGTAGCTAACGGGGAACTGCACTGTGTTGGCAGGGGGGAAAAAGACCCAGTGCAACTTTAAATAATGTTTTTCTTCTAAATCAGCATTTTTTTTTCCCCAAAAAACATAAGGATGAGGTGTATCATGATGTGCTTTGTGTGTGCAGCCAGGGGAACAGCAGAAAATAAAGCAGCTGTTCTTACACCATCAAACTGAAGATTCTGCTTTCAGATCAAAGTCTGAGATGAATTTTCCAAAGCTTCCAACCTCCCTGTGGAGCTCAGCTCTGGGAGGTGACCTGACAGCAGCAGAACATCACAATTCCAAGGAGGAATCACGGGATTACCTGAGGATGCAGAGCACTTTGCAGATTTTAGAGATTTTTTGCTGTTTGAAGAGGACGTGAACACTTGGGCCAGAATAAAACCAATCCTACACATGAAAGGCTTGGAGCTGCTCTTACCTTGGGGGAGGTTTAGTGTTGAACAGGAGTGGGAGATGTCCAAGACCAGGTTGGATGGGGCTTGGAGCAACCTGGGCTGGTGGAAGGTGTCCCTGCCTATGACAGGAGGTGGGAGTGGATGTTCTTTAAGGTCCCTTCCAACCCAAGCCATTCCATGATTCCATGATTCTGTGTTCAGTGCGAGGCAGTGAGAGTTGAAGGAGTTTTTGGCAGCATGGGGAATCCTCCATCCCTTGTCCTGGGGCTTGTCTGACCACAGAACTGTACAAGTTTAAGCAACACCACCTGGAAACAAATCCCTCATCCCTTCCTGCACTGGCACAGGTTGGGCAGAGGAGCTGTGGCTACCCCTGGATCCCTGGAAGTGTCCAAGGCCAGGTTGGGATAGTGGAAGGTGTCCACTGGTGGTGAAATCCTCTCTCTGACCAGTTGAATTTGCACTAGAAAGCTCTGCAGAGTTGATATTTGCTGTGTGTTTTCCTGGGAAACGTTCCCATACGCTTGTGTTTCCCTGGAATGTTTGAGGAGGAACCAGGACCAGGTGCTCCCGAGTCAAGGTCACCTGGACAGAGGTTCTGGTAGGACAGAAAGGGGTGATTTTGCCCATCTTTTTGGTGGATTTTGTTGTGTCTCAGCTTGTTTTCTTTGCCTCTTTTTTTTTGGAGGAGAATTCTTTTGGGTAGCGATCATCCATCCAGTTCTGCTTAGTTCAAATTTCTCTTAATTTAATTTCCATATTCTAATAACAGCCCTCACCTTTCTCCCTTCTCCTTTAATACGTGGTGTGTGTGTAAGTCTGTGGTTTAATCTGTTGATTTTATTTTCCATTTATTAAATTTTTAATTTATATATATATTTTAATCTGGAGATCTCGCTGTGCACACTGCAGGACCAAACTCTGGGTTTTATACAATGGCACTGATACAGGGAAAAGGCAGAATTCCCAAACCTACTTCCTGTGTGTCCCTAAAGTGGGAGGATCTGGGTGAACTCGATGGAGTTTTTGAGGAGGTTGGCAAGGTTGGGGGTTCAGAGTGATCAACTGGTGTAATTTCATTTTTCCAGACAGCTTTTGAGGAGATTCTTCTGAGGAGGTGAAACCCAGGGGGAGGGAAAAAGAGCAAAGTCTGAGTGGCCCATTTTTTTTATCCTGGAGACAGTGGTCAAAATAGAGCAATTTTGGGCTCCAAATTGAACCTGAACAAACGAGGGAGGTTTGTTGTCCTTCTGTGGGGTCCTGTAAGGGCAGGTCTGAATTTCATGAGTCTTCAGGAATGGCTTGGTGGCTTTCCAAGGGTGAAAATGCCCTCTTGTCTGTTTATTTTGGGAGTCTGAATTATATGACAGCGACACCTCAGAAGACCTGTAGCACATTTCGTGATGACCACGTGAGTTCCCTTCCCAAAGGAGCCCCTTGGCAAAACAGACACTTGGGGTCACAAGAAGCACTTCCCTGGGGCATAAAATCCTGCTTTTTGCTTGTCCTGGCCCTGCTCTGTGTGTCTGGTCTCGTGCTCTGGAACAAGTCGTGTGTCTACACGTAGAACTCAAAGCTGTTTGGTTTCCTTTGACAAGCGAGGTGGCGAATTAAAATCTAGGCAGGGTTTGATGAGACACAGCCCAGAGCTCGGAGAGCTCCTTCCCGCTGACAGATGGCTGCATCTTCCAGGCCCAGGGTTCTCAGGGAACAAAATAAATCGCTGTTTGTCTTGGAGGAGCTCGCTAGAAAACAGGAAAAAAAAAAATAGATAAATGAGTCCCTGAAGAGAGCGGAGGTTAATCCCGTGGAAAATGTAATAATATTTTATTTTTCTACGGCCTTTTTTTAATTGCTGGTGTTCCATCATCGCGTCCTACTGGTGGCTGTGTTTTGGGGAAGGATGGAGTGATCCCTCTGAGTGGGGAATCGAGTGATATCGAGTGTAATTAGTCTCAGTGACACTCCTCCCTTACTCATTTATTTTTCAGCGAGGCAGATTTTTAACACAATTAAAAATTCCCTTGTCTTTCGGAGGTTCTTAAGGAGTTGATCCCCGGGGGATGCACCCTGAGGACTGGATTATGTTGTACCTGTGCTTTTATCTTTAGTGGCTTCTGGTAGAATAATTATCTGTATCAAACTCACCTACCGGGTTTCTCTTGCTTTCTGAGAGCAGATGAATTGAAACAAGGCCCCGACCTCGTGTCAATATTGCAGCCACCTCTAAAGGGGAGGTTTTCTCCTGTGCTAATTCACCTCATTACCGGCTCTCTAATGAAATCATTTTTTTTGGCAGCTGCAAATTTGCAAACTTCTCCAATAGGTGGGAAATGTGTCATTTCAGGGGCCAACAGGTGCCGTCGCCGAGACCACGAGAGACCCCTTGGTGGGTCCAGCGCCTGGTTTTGAAACGTGTGAGGTTAAAATGATTGGAATAATACTTTTAATTGCTCTGTAATTAAGGTCCATCGGCAGAAAGCAGATATTTTGGTAAGGCAAACTTATCCCATCTGACATTAACCTGGACATGCTGTTAACACTCCGTGGGAAGCTCTTCCTGGAGAAAGGATCTGATAATAATTCCGGGCAGAAAAGCGAAATAAGAACGAAGCTGAGCTGAGAAGGGGCTGTGTGTTATCTGCTTTTGCTTTATCTCATTGTTCAAAGCCTAAGTCTGCAGAGCTCCGAGCATCTTGCATTCCCATATTTGGGTTTAAAATGGAAGCAGGATTAGATGTATGTTATTTATATGAACGATACCTTCTTACTCAGCAGATTGACTGTCTGTGTTTATTCAGTGTCACATCTGCTGGCTCCACTTGAACAAAAAGTTTCTGGCTCCTGTTGTCTGTCACTGTGGATCCAATACAATGGGGCCAGCTGGAGTCAAGTCTGCCGTATGTGTCATCCCTGGAGCAGCGAGACAAAATCGGGAATTGCGGAGCGGCTGATGGCACGGCACAGCTGGATTTCCATACCCTGCCTGGAATTCGAGGTGCTGGTGGCCAGAAGACTCTTGGTTTGGGTCATGTGCCAGTTGGGCTGAACATGAAACCGGCGAAACTCCTGTGCCCGGTGGATCATCCGCCCCAAAACCCCGATCCAAGCGGAGCAAGATGCAAATTGTCCCAACGTGCCCCATCCCATCGGTGGATTTCCTCTTAAAACCCCTCCGGTGCTGAGCTTGCCTCTTTTCGTGTCGGTTCTGTAGCAGGAATGCTGTCGTGCTCCTGGCATGACGACTCTTATTATGGTCTGTATGTGCACATATGGGTTTCTGGAGGCAGCTCCCAGCCATGTGCAGGCCTCGGTCGGGATCCAAGAGGAGACAAGGCACAGATCTTCCAGGCGGAAACTGTGTGCCCCTGAGAGAGGGGGGCAAGGTGAAAAAACAGAGCTCACGTGCTGGGTGGAGGTGTCTGACACACGTGTGTGTGTTCAAACATCTGTGGGATACAACGTGGTTGTCCTCTGTCCTGCCACGGTGCCGGAGCGATGGCTGGGAGGGACTTGGGATGTCAACAAAGGATTCCTGGAGGTGGCTCTACCAGCTCGGTGTGACGTGGGATAATTTGCTGCTGGCGTCTCTGGTTTGGTTCTTTCGCCTCCTTAAACAGCAGCCTGGAGAAAAGGAGGCTCAAGGGGGACCTTCTTGCTCTCCCTGGCAAGAGGGGGGAGCTGGGAGGGATTTGATCTCTCAGAGAATGAGGAGCAGGACAAGAAGAAAATGGCCTCAAGCTGTGTCAGGGGAGGTTGAGATTGGATATTAGGGAAAAATTCTTCCTGGAAAGGGTTGTCCAGCCCTGGCACAGCTGCCCGGGGCA